TGCAACGTATGGCATCCCGTTGTTACGAGCCCCATGATGCGCAATGTCTTGCCCCTCACGGTCTACACTGCATGCGCGTTCATACAGTGCTGCTTGCTTACTAAGCGCCCCCAATAAGCGTGCAAGTGCCCACGGTCCAAGTGAAGTCTTTGCTACTACCACCATGCTATTACCTGAATCATAATGCCAACCAATACGACGCTCAAACCATATCTTATAGCTCTATTGATCCCATTGCATGTATTAACCCTTGTATGAACAAGTTCTTTATTCTCCGTACATCTGCTTGCGTCATCCGTCCGCTTGCTCAACACATAAGTCTGCTGGTTATCTGCTTGTCTCGTATATCCGCTCGTCTCATAGATCCCGCAATGAACGCCTGTCATCTGCTTGTCTAGTATATCCGCTCGTCTCATAGAGCCCGCAATGAACGCCTGTCATCCGCTTGTCTTGTATGTCCGCTCGTCTCATAGATCCCGCAATGAACGCCTACCTGATCAACTGTATCCTTTAAAGCCAACCGGGTGAACGGTCGAATGATCTGGTGAATCCCTCAGATGAACAAGTGATTGCTCCAGCCTCTGAAAGGTTGTGCAAGCAGTCACGTAGATCCCACAAATGAACATATTTACCTGATCAAGATCTGGTATATCCCCCATATGAACAAGTGAACAGCTTCATCCTCTGAACGCAGAAGAAACCAAGTAAACGGTCGTGCAAGCAGTCACGTAGATCCCACAAGATGAACGCAAAGGTTATCCCCCATAGTAATCATTATTGAGGCAACAGGTTAGGCGCTCACCATCTCCATTGCCACCAACTATACTGGTGGTTTCAAACCGCCCACAGCATGGGTCTGTAGACGCCAAAGCGCACCAAGCACCCAGCTTGTAGGCCTCTGAAGGTTTTGTCATACCACAAGCTCAACAGACAAGTCCGAAGCTCAGCGGATATTACATCCCCTCCCCCACAAACGCCGCCCACAGCATGAATCTGTAGACGCCAAAGCGCACGACAAACCCAGCTTGTAGGCCTCTGAAGGTTACGTCATACCGCAAGCTCAACAGACAAGTCTGAAGCTCAGCAAATAACTCAGGAAATCTCACGTACTGCTACCGAAGAGCCTGATTTGCAAGTCAAATATGCCTCATCTTTATACTTGCGTTGGGACAATGTGACAAGTGCCGCATCTATACAGTGCCATTGCTGCTGCTCGGCTGATTGCTGCACCTATCCGGCTCTCATCGTTGCAGCCGCATCCATCCAGCTCTCATTGCAGCTGCTCGGCTGACTGCCACACCTATCCACCTCTCATCCTTTTGGCCTGTGATCCTGCCGTCTTACTCTTGCGCAACTGCACGCACGCCCTGCTCTTCCTCCTTCCTTCCCTTCTGTAACTGCCATCCTTTGTTCCTGCTGTTTGATCTGCACCCTCTTCTGGGCGCAAGCTGTGCGTTGATACTTGAGCACAGTCACAATCTCAACAGGACATGACGCCCCGCCTTGCTCACCATGGGTTGCAGCAGGATGAAACAGATGGTGCAGAGACGCGCAACTGCAATTGCACCAGGCATCATGTTGTGACGAGAAGGTGCAGCAAGCCACAAGTGAGCATATTGTGCCTTTTGTTGGGATTGTTGGGGCTGCGTGTACTGATAGCAACGGGATGATTGATGCAAGAGAGTTGTGAGTAGGTGTGCTTCTGGTCAATCGTCTTGGCACATTGCGCATGCACTCATGACTGCCATCACATCATGAGCGAGCGCTTGGTCAAATATACTCTGCCGCGCGCTGCGCGGGCCTAACCCTAACCCTAACCGCGGCAGAGCCGCACGCTGCTACGCAGCGGACCCTAACCCGCCACACAGCAAATTTTAAAGTCTGGTCATGGCGAGTGGGCATCTGATCAAGGTCCGCAGACATCGTCGAGTTGCCAATTTTGAACGCCTGACTTGGTTCCAGAGGCATTCAGATTTGCGCAAGAGCAGCGTTTGCATGCACAGACCCCAGTCAAGCTGAGCACGAGTGCGTAGATTTACGCGCGAGTACACCCTCGCAAGTCACAAGTCGAAGAGCAACGTCTGCAATAGCTTCTCACACTGGCGAACAAGAGCCGCCTGCCAGTATTCATGTCTCGCGTCAACACTGATCGACATTGCAAGAGAGTAGTCAGGCTAGGCGCACTTTTGTCGACGTGCTTGCATTCAGAGCCTGACTACCCTTGACATTGCAATCGCGCTGGACCCGCGTCGACTACACCACGTGCGGGAGTCGCGAGCACAATTCGACACTTTGTTCCAAGTCTCGTCAGGGAACGTATTTCTTAAAGTTTCCTGCTGCCCTGACCTGCAAACAGCGCGGCATTCACGATCAGAGAGATCCGTTTGATTGCTCTGTTGATCAACCTACTCACCTCTTCCGTCCAATCCTGACCGTCACTGAGTCCAATGACCGACTTTTGGTCAGTGCCGAATCAACGTCAAGGGAAGGGTCTGTGACTCACGCTGAACACTCGGCAGTGGCGAACGGCTGCGCTTCTTCAAAGTAGACGGGTTTGAGCTCGTTGACGGTAGCGTCTTTCCAAGACTTGTCTCGGCAGATGTTACTCCAGCACTCAGGGGCCTGATCATCACGAAAGCAGTCATACGCGCCGCCCAGGTGAATCTGCACATCTAGAGGTAGTGACGACGGCCGTCAGCGAGGGTTAGGTACGCGGATTGCGCACCGTGCTCACAGATTCCTTTGTTGGTAAAGGCGTTTGCATGATGCATGATCGTGCTTGCCCAGAAAAATGACAAGAGAGCCGAGGTTCGAGCGAGCATGTTGGGTTCTTGGAGGCAAGTGTGTTCGACGGGTTTGATGCCATTGGCGGTGCTCTTGTGTGGCGATGAGGACTCGCTCTCGCTCTCGCGCTGCTTTTATGCTTATCGTAAGCTTTTGGCCTGGCATACTCGCCCCACCAAGGCATAGAGACCAAATTTCTACTCCAGCAAGAACCTACAACGAAGCGGTCGAGACCTGCGGCCATGCTGGTCCGACTTCGGTAGAGTTGTTCGAGAATGCGTCCCGAGAGCAGTCAAGTGCAGCACTCCCGCGTTCTGCGCATACACCTTGGGTTTTCTCCTTCCTTTGCTCCTCAACTAGTCGAGATTTCCTCTTCCACGCCTCCGACGACGATTTCCTCTTCCACACCTCCGACGACCTCTTCCACACCTCTACCTCGTACGCCGACCTTGTGCAAGCAAAGGCTACGCGGAGTGTTGCACCTCAACCGTCCTCAAGCGACTCGCTTCCAAGAGCTGCTCTTCGAGCAGACACCGCCAAGAGGGAACAATACTGCGCTCGTAGTGTCCTCATTCTTTCTCTTAAAGTAGACAGCGTGCTGCAGTCTGACCCCTGAACTTCAGCTTAGACTGCGTCATCGCTATGGCTCGATGCCCTATCGAGAGCCGTGCATCTACGCCCAAATCTCATTACAAGGGCGGAGTGCAAAAATGGGCTTCCATTTCTATCGCCTGCTGCTTGCGTAGACCTTCGAGAAGACGACGCAGGCAAACGTGCAACTCACGAGCTTTTCTTGTCATGCAGTCAAGCAATAACCTTTGCTTTCATAGTCGCACCGCGGTGCGCTCCTCCCCTCTTGACCAGCGGCACAATATCTTTGAAAGTTGCCAGCTAGAGCAAGGAGTGTGGGCTGGAAAAGTGCGTTCCTTGCCCGTCGATTGACGACTGTTGCCGTCAAGAGTGGATAAAATTATGTGCGTGTTGCCCTCGTGGATGCACGCGCGCGCGCGCAAGTCGCGGTCGGTGTCAGATCACACGCGCGCCCCTGCATGTAGACGCGGACGTCAACCCACTCATATTGTGGTCAATAGACACCACAGCGTTCACGCTCGAACTCTTAAAGTTCCAAGGCGTCATCGTCGTCTACACAGTGAACAGTCTTTTAGGTGCACAAACACGACCCTTGATTTCATTGATTAGCTGACTTTGTTCCGACCACCCTCGGCTTTCTTTAGACTTGAGAGAGGACAGCCAGCGGGGGAAAGCCAGACTGCACCGCGCTGGAACTTTGCACACCCATCCGTGTCGTTGGTGACTCAGGGTCCTTTGACATACTTTAGACCATTTCTGACCTACAGAGAGGGGGCGAAACACTCGAGTCAAGCTGGAAGCGCCCGCTGAAATGCACAGGCATTCACTCACGTTCTCCGTGTTGTCGACCTGGTCGCTGCTCATCAGAAAGCCGTGCCGCTGCTTTAAGCCAACATATTTCGCGCTGAGCAGCAACTTTACTTTTACTCACGACGAGCACTCTGCGATGGCCAGATTGGTGGGGTATACTTGCCCCCCAAAGGTCTGTAGCTTTAGCTGATTGATTTTGCCCGTCTCTTCGTCGGTTTGAAAGTTGTTGCAAATGTTTTGCCAGCAGCCTGGTGCTGCATCCATGCCTACACACGAGGGAATGGAAGACTTGTCCAGGAAGACGACTGTGTGTGCAGACGGGCATTGGGATGCGCATTGCTTCAGTGATGGATCGCACGCGCTCGCACCACAACACTAACATATCGCCTCTTTGGTGAAGCCGTCAGAATTCACTTCTCGGCAGGAGACGTCGACGACGACGGTGAGAAGGGCAGCGAGAATGGCAGCGTATTGAGCACGCATGTTGATGTCAGAATGTATTGTAAGAAGAGGGCAGAATGCGTTGGTGGAAAGTCAGAGGAGGTTCGAACGCTGATCCGCTTCTTGTAGCTGCTTTGAGACATTTCGACGATCGTCAAAGGCAAAGAAACGCGCATTGGTACTACGTAGGGACGTTGACGCGGCCCGGACTGTTGCGCACCCGCTTGCGAAAAAGTTACTGCCGTCTCGGGATTACAACGCCGATCTCTCGGGTCTTGGCAAGTCTTGGAGCTGAGTTCATTGCATGCCAGGACGTTAGAGTTTGCGTTAGAGAACTTCGCGATACGTCCGCTCGCCATCATTGTTACTTGGCGCTAGTGATGCTGGCCCATTAGTCCCTTCAGTCTGCGCAATGTTTTGGTTCCAAGCCGCGCGTGATCGTTCGACTTTTTCGTCGAGAGCCCGTGCTCCCGCTTCCTTAAAACTTTCTTTTGTGCTGGTGCAGCACGAGAGCTCGCTCAAGAGCCTCAAAGCCAGTGATGTGCTGGTCTTTGCTGACTGAAACCTGGATTTGCGGCAAAAATTGCAAAGAAGCGCAGCCTGATTGGACCTTGGTCCGATCCATTCCGACTCTCGGTCTCGGCCCGAGTGGCGTCATCGATTGGGCGCCTCGTACATATGAGCTTCAAAAAATTCACTCGAGCCAACAAATTGTCGCGCAGACGTCCCTCGGACCCCGTAATTCACATTGTCGTCAGTCTCGGTACGCTATTGACACGCGGCGGACCGGGGTCAACTATCGTTTGGGCAATTTCAATGCCATGGTACTTGATTGACCTCATCTGCGGTTTCGTTCGGGCCGTTGTTGCGTACGTTCGAAGAGCACACGGGTATGAAGACGATCCATAGGGCCTTCGTCTCATGTGCGACCAAGTGTCTCGAGTCTGAGAGGCATTGGCGTAGAGACGCAATTCACCTTAAAGGTAGCACGGTCGTGCAAAAGCTGACATGCGACAAATGAGGCTTGGAATCATGCTTAGAGGGCAGACGCGTGCATTCCGAGCACCATGTCTTATGTTAAGCCAATCTGCCCAATCAGACGGTGCGAGAGAGACGGTCGAAAGACGCGGACCATCAAGTGATCCTCTCGCAGATCTGCCTAGAAGCAGCTACAAGCGCATGCTTGCGACCGGAACTGAGTGGTGACCGCAGATTATGTCCCAACACTGGTGAAACGCCGCTCTCGCCATAAGCATCTCCCGCGGGGCGCCTCTTCTTCCAGAAACACGCGGGCGTAGAGTGGATTTGTCAAATTGAAGCGCAGACACGGACGTGCCTGCCTCGTACCGCTCTCTCGTGCCTGTCTGAGACGCGGCACTGGCTTTCCGAACGGATTGACACTTCTTGTTATCTGTCAGCTGCGCAATCGAGCTCCCACTCTCGATATTACGGCGCGTATAAGAACCGAGCTCGCTTTGCCAGACCGAATGTGATACGCCAAGCATTCTTGAGCCCCTCTCACCATCTTGCACACTTCATCACCTGCACAATGGCACGCTTCAATCTCCTCATTGCCGCAGCTCTCTTCGTGCTCGCGCACAGTACATGTGCTCGCCCGGGGCTGGAGCCAAGATCAACAGGGCTCCCAACTTTGGGCCCAAAAGCCACCAAGATTGTGGCCGACTCGCTCAAGGCTGCCACTGTGCCGTCGGTACATTTGGATCAGATGAGATCCGATTACCTCGCTCAGATCAATGATGTCAACAATGGCAAGTAAGTGAAGCGTCGGGAGAGATGTCTTCTCTGGAACATTCCAGGAACTCTCAGATTTGATAATTCTGACCACTGCATTCGCAACAGAAACTCAAAGGCCACACTATCCAGCAACGCCGCAGATTGGATCCTGAAAGATCTCGTTAGAGTGGCCGACAACACCCCCACTCAGCCGTACGAGGTCACACCGGCCGAGCTCGACGCGATCTACGCGGGAGGCTTTGCCCCAGACTCGTACAAGCGCTACTCGCAGACTTTTCTTGCAAACGACGTGCACGCAAAAGTGCTTTCAAAGGGGCTCGGCGATGTCCTCAGAAACCAGACGCAAGACCTCTGGCACGCATGGCGCGATGCTTACTTTGCACTCAATTATGGTTTGTGAGTCATAGACACGCGCCGCGAGGGAGCAGGAATTGACAACTCGCATCGCCGTGCACAGATACTCGCCCGAGGGAGCAAAGAAGTGGAAAGCGAGCGTGGACACAATCACGGATGCTTTGAGCAGCGTCGTTCGGCTGTATTCCATCTAGCGTCGGCGGAGCGCGAACCAGAGACTTTGTGCCACGTCGTAAAGGGGGAGAGACCGGGGCAGTTCGGCAAGTCAAGTGTGGAGCAATGGACTTTATCTCGTCGATGAGGGCGTGTGCTTTCTATGCCGCTGCGGAGAAGCGCGCGCTGTACGGCCATCATGGAAGCCGTCGACTGTGAGCCTCGAGCAAGGCGTCTGCCCTGCACGCTCGCGCCTCTTGTCACACTCACGCTCGACACCAAGCAATTCATGTCTCGCACAACTTTGACTGTATGGCGGCGTAGTCTGAAGGCAGCACGTATGCATGCAGGTGGCTAGATGTGGTGTTCGGGCACGTGTACGTGTGCGTCCTCATCGCGCCCTCTCGCGCTGGTTCCGCGGGGATCCTACATTCACAGTACTTTGCAAGTTTTGCTTCTTGCTCCACGCGAATCTGAATCTTTATGCACGAAGCTCACAATCATGATCCGGGAACGCTGTCTAGCGACAGCTAGGCGCGTCTGCCCGCACAGAGACGAGACAACCGAAGCATCGATGGGGCTACGCCTCCGCCACGCCCGTCCATCAAGGCTGCACGAGTCTGAACGATTTCATCAATCCGAAAGTGTTCCTGGCACATACACACGCTTCCAATGTCTGAGCTCTCAATAGCTTTTTGGACGACCAATTCGGCAAAAGTAATCCGGAAAACAGAGATTTGCGAGCACATTGTCGCGGAATTGCGTGTCGAAACGGCGCTCACGCACTGTAGTGCTCGGATGGTGGAGTCCAGCACTAAAAGCCTCGCAAAGTGCGTATTGTGTCGTGTGCATTATTGTGAGACGAATCGCGCCGGCTACGATGACCCGACGACCGTTCCATCATCAAGCCGCAGACCGTCGTCGTCTATAGTCTGCAAAGGTTCGCCTGGACATTTGGATAGCTAGACGCACAACCCGCACACTACAAATTGTTCACCCTCGCCTGCCTTACCCGCTGCTTGCTCCTCAGCCCGCACCCATAGCCCCGCTTTCACATACCAAGATGCAACTCTCAACCGCATTTGTTGTGAGCTTCGTTGCGCTCCAGGCCGTCATTCTCCCTCCGGCCGTCGGTGCCCTCCCATCCTCGATCTTCGAGCCGCTCGCAGACTGGCACGACCCGCACAACGATGCAGAACTCGTGCACAAAGCTCGTGAGCAGCTCAAATTGGCCACTGGACCAGCGCATCCACCGGAGCATGCGCCCACGACCTATCTGCAACAGCTGCAAGCTGATTACATTTCCCAGATCACTGGTTCCGAGTCCACGAGGTGAGCAGAGATCGACAAGACCAGACTTTGCCCATCTACTGACCGCACCTGCAAGCAGTCCCAAACACTCCCAGACGGCGCTGTACAGCGAAGCTTTGATCTCGCTCAACTCCACCCTTTTCGAATTTGTCGACGTTGTAGGCGGCCTCAATCGCTATTTCAGCCACAGCGACGCCGAGGAGATCATGGCAGATTTTTATCCCGAACTGTACACATCCTATGCTGCGGCGCTCACCACTCCTGAAATCAAGAAGCAGGTCGCCGAGAGGAATGTTGGCTTGCAGCTGCGAAGCGCAACAGCGGTGCTCTGGCAAGCGTGGGACCATGCCTTTTTGGCTTTGCGTGACAAGACGTGAGTATCCTTGCTCGAATAGAGGACATTCGTGCGCTACCGCTCACCTGCGCCTCGATCTACAGCGTGCCTGGCTCGCCTGAAGCTGAACAGTGGGTGAACGGCATCGACACGCTCAAGACGGGTTTACAGGCCATCATCAACACGTATTATGCTTGAATGCGCCGCCAAAAGCGATCCCAGGGCAACCGTACATCCAGCAGAGGGCAGACGTACACAACGACCGTGTCGCGAGTGTCATGTTCACAGTATTGACCTGACGATCCCATGATGTCTCCACCGCTACATTCCCATGCCCATGTACTTGAATGGGATTTCTGATCATTCGCATCGAGCCGCGTATACTGCCTGTCCTGTTCAGGAATTGAGACCTGAGTGAGCTTATTGCATACGCCACAAATTGCCAATAGCAACAATGACGCTGGATTGGCCATGCAAGAATGTGAATGTCAACTTGCGCGAGGCCCCTACCCGCGTTGCGGCTCCGAACATTGATTGATTCGTGGCCGCTAGACGCAAGCCGGCTCGCGAGGAGCGAGGAGCGAGGAGCGAGGAGCGAGGAGCGAGGAACGTCACCAACACTCTGAGCGTCTTTGCGCCGTCTAGTCATGAGCACGCATTTCTACGACTCACCGCGCGCGAGTGCGCGGAATCACGCATGAAAAGGGGGCGGTGTTATTCTCACCGCGCTCTGCAATCTCCAGACCTTGCACAAGCACAACAGCAAGCTTCGCGCCAAGACTGCTTGCTTTCGATGACGTCGGACCTCCGAGTGGAAAGTGCAGTGCGCCCCTTGCAGTCTTACACCTGTGACTTGCCTTTTTGCCTACAGCGGTCTCGCCAATTTGCGCGTATATGGTCGCATGGAACCCCGCTGTGCATCAGTAACGAGGTACGCGCGCGCGCGCGCAGAGTCGGGCCGCGAGCGACAAATGAGCGATCCCATTTACGCAGCTTGGACCATCCATGCCACGCACTTTGACATCGTTCTACGAAGGGCCGAAGCGTCCGGAACTCTACGCCCGCCACCCGTCGATGAATATCTTGGTGCTTGCGTGCTTGTCAAAGTGTGCGTGCTAGTGTTCATGCATCGCGCGATGCGGCCCCGCTCTTCGCCTGCGTGTCGTGCTGCAGTCAGTGCTACGAGTGAGTCCACTGAGCGCTCCATGTACGCTCGCGTCGCCGTGCGTTCCAAAGCATCGACAAGGTGAGCTGAAGAGATACAAAATGGCCCTTTTGTGGTCTTTCTTGCTGCCCGTCGCTTCACTCGCCCCAGCCCATCCACTCTCGCTCTTCCCACTCGCTCATCGCCATCTTGCACACCCGCCTGCTTCGCCTCGCCTCGCCTCATCATGGCTCGCTTCACGCTCTTCCTGACACTCTTGCTGTCTCTTGTCCTGGCCTTCGTCTGCGCCGCCCCCGCCGAATCTATCGGTCTGACGCAAGACCAAGACAAGGTTCGCCTAGCGTTCCGCAATGCTTCCGGCAACGGGCCAAACGTAGCGCAGCTACAGTCGGACTTTTTGTCGGTCATCAACACGAAGCAAAAGTGAGAGGGCCGCACGCGACGGCTTGCTGATCGATCTGTCCGTCTCACTCTTGACTCTCTCCTCCGACTGCAGCCCCAAATTTGCTTCCCCTATACTCTTCAGCGTAGCGCATGCCCGCATCGCATCCGCGCTGTCCAGAATCGTTCGCGTCTCTACCAAGGACGACTTTGAGATTCGTCACGAGGTCGAGGCAAAGGCGATTTTGAACGAATTCAACCCACAGCCTTACAACGATCTTGCCAATGTCTTGACTGGCGACGAGGTAAAGACGACGGTCGAAGAGTCAAACGACAAGACACTTGGTCGAGCCATTGCGCTTCAATTTACCGCGCTGCAGGTTCTTTGGGCCAACGCTTACGTCGCCTTTTCCATCGAAGCGTGAGTATGCTAGGCCCAGTAGCCTGTCGAGTCTTGGCGATGCTCACAGCAAGATTCCTGATGCGCAGTGTTGGCAAAGGAGAGGCACAGGACAGTTTCAACAAGCGTTACTACGCCATCCAAGACAGCTTGACCAAGATCATCAACACCTACAACAAGTGACGTGGCTGCTAGTGTTGGCGCCGCACGGAGCCAGCACTGCGTCTGCTTCACAAACATCAACAACATCCCATTTCGAAGCGCGAATCGGCCTCTCAAAGTCACGAGCCTACTTCCCCCGCACAGTAATGCATGAACAGTTTGCGTTCCGGTGTGCTCGTGCCGCAGCGACCGTCTTGACCGCCTCCTCGGCACATGCAGTCAGCCATGCGTGAAATGATTAGAGTGCATGCAATCGACATCGACTTGGGCTGTCCGTGATGGCATGCTCGACTGCAACATCTCGAAGCCGACCTTTGTAACGACTGCTCGAGGTCAAAGCGTCGAGCGCCTGAAGCGTGGCAACGTGTAGCGGCCGAGATTGCCTCGGGATGGCTGATGATCGGCAAAGTCTATACTCGAGGGGCATTCCACACAGCATGAGACGCGCAATGTGCATCAATTCAGCGAGTAGAGTTTCGCATGATTTGTGGGCTGCGCTGTCTCTACAGACTCCACTCTACATTCAACTTTGCTCCTCGCGTCTAGGTCGAGATCGCTTTGGAGGCTTGCTGCTCCTGGCATAGTGATGAGCAATGCGATCCACGAATCTGAGATCCTTTGAACGTCTCAAGTTGACCAACTTGTGATGCAGCGGATTGAGGTCCCTGAAATCGAGCGTCGGAGCGTCCTTTGTGGTGTTTGGTGCGCACTGTGCCATGAACTTCGACGTGACGGGCTGAAGCACAGCTGGGAGGCAAGGCATCGTCGCGTAGGCTCTTCCTTGCGGTGGGTACAAAGAGCTAAACTCCGTCACCGTCTCCAGCGCCTCATCGATCCGGTCCGATCTGGACGGTAGAAGCGCGTCAGCGGCAGTCAAAAGATGAACGCACCACCTCGCACTCACTTGCACAGATTCGCGATTCGAGCGGCCCAAACGCGAGCAATGGCCTTGCCTTGCGTCTCTGCGCTCACCCGATACTCCAGCCAGCGCTTCCACAAAGCATCACCGATCTGATCGGCCCTTTCGCGACTCTTGTTCGACACCTTGCCACACAGGGTCATTGCGATCTCAAAAGTCTTTGGGTTGGGTTGTAGCGCCAGTCGAGCAAGCACTCCATCCTCGTGCGCTCCTTCCACCGCACCAAAAGCCTCCTCGAGAAGGCCAAAGAATTGCGCATCCTGACGAGAGTGCCGCGTGAGCGCCTCGAGGTAAGAGTTGATAGCTAATGTGGTGATGCAGATATTGGATAGTAGACCTGTGCCACTCTCCACATCCAGCAATAGTCGGGTAAAAAGTCCGCGCACTTCGCTAACAACTTCTGCTGAACTCATCGGCACGCGCTCGTCAAAGGATGCCTTGCCAGCGTCGACATCTGCAACGTCGTCAGCGTCGGTACCAGCGCTTCGTACAATGTCATCTGCGGCCGCTTCCTTGCGTTCTGCGCCGCCTGTGAAAGCCTCTACTTTGTCGTCGCGGGCTTCAACCGCAGTGGCAGCTTCGTCGTCTCCGCCTCTTTCGCCCCCGCCATCTTGCGTTGCACCCGCCTGCTTCTGTCGCAAAGCCCTCAAGTTGCTCTTGAAAGGAGGGACGTATGCTGCATACGCATTGAAGACGTGCATCAAGCTGACGTCGTCCGGTCTTCTATTCTCCACCTCTAGCTGTTCCCTATCCGTCAAGTTGGTCGGTCCACGTTCCTGCGCCGTCTCTGACCACAATGCGCTCGCGTTGCGCAGCATCTCTGCCAAGACCCACCTAGCGCGGGCAAGATCCCCATTCCGGGCGCAGCCATTGAGTAGAGCATTAAAGGTCCGTCTATCCGGTGCAAAGCAAGTGAGTTCCTGTCTAGCCTGAACGTCTTCGATGCTCAGGCGCTCCCTTTCCAGCGCCACCATCTCCTTGAGCAGCCTGAAAGCTTCAGGCAAGAGCTCTTTTCGGCGTGCATACACCAGCATGAGCGCATTGTACGTCTGCGCCGTGGGTCGAATGCCGTAGTGGACAGACATTTCCCTGAACAGGTCCAGCGCCCTCTCTCCATCCGCTACGCGCTTGCGTGGCGCGTTCGAATAATCGTCGCCAGGATACTCGATGCCCTCAGCGCAGGCTCGGATAGCCAGAGTGTACAGTGGCGCGTCGGGCGTGGGGTGCGCCGCAAACCTCATCCGATGATACAAGCTCCAGAATAATGGCTTGTGGTGCTTGGGTGCCGCTGTGAGAATGTGGTTCAGAACCAGCGTATACGTCGCCAAGCTGGCAGGGCCGGGCAGCAGAGCAACCGCGTCGGACGACTTGGCAGACGCGCCTTCGAGCGACGCGAGAATGTCCAGAGCGGCTGCAAGCGACCTGCGCAAGTTTGCCTTGATGAGGCAGTGGGTGGTGTGCGCGTCGTCTGGGCATCAAAGATTCGATGATGCACGTCCGCCGTAGTATGACGATGAGCAGCAGCAGGCTTATTCGCTACTTTCAGCCGACTCACGAGCGCTCATGGAGGTGATTATCCTTTCGCATGTCTCTACGTCGCCTTTCTCCGCGTACACTTCGAGTACGCCATTCCAGAGCCGCGTGTCCGGTTCGCTGCCAGAAAGCTGCGGGAGGGATGCGGGGTCGTGAGCACGGGAATGCTCGCTAGGGAGAGCACTGTGCTCACCTTCATGGCGTCGAGCAGCCGCGATTGGGATTGCACATCAGACGCCCGACTCTGCTCGAATACATGCGCTGTCAGCGATCGCAAGGGTGCGAAAGAAGCAAGGAGCACACTCACAGCCAGGACAACGAGAGCCTCCCACTCCCGTCGTGTGATGAGACCGACCGGAAGTGCTGCAGGCCGAGTCGAGCTTCCCGCCATCAGGGAGAACCTCTTCACCACTTCTTCCACCTGTGCAAACAGCACTCGTCTCGCTTCTCCATCCCTCATGAGATCCGTCTGTCCACCTCTTGCTACGTCGTCCTGCGCAATCGCAACCATTTCATCGACTGCTTCTTGGGCACGTGATTCCGAGACCGCTTCTTGGAGATCCTCTGCGCGTGCTCCGTCAGCTGCTCCGCACAACCTTGCGTGCATCATCTCGATCCGTTTGGCGAGCGGGCCTAATCGTGACCGCAGCTTGCGCTCATCGCGTATGCGGCGTGGCAACGATTCGATCTCCAGCAAGCGCTCAGCTGCGTCGGGTGTTGCTGTTCCAACTGCAGGTGCAGACGCCTGAGTCTCTTTTCCCCTGATGCCATCCAACGCCACCTCGCCTGCGCTGATTTTCGCAGCATCATCCTGCACCTCGCTGTTCGACGGTAGCAGCCTTTTCGCCTCGTTCACAGCAGCCATGAGTCGCAAACGAGCTTCCTGTCTTGCACTGAGCCGCTTCACCTGCGCATCAGGCGGATCAGGCATGCTGAGAGCCTTGTACAATCTGTCCAGCGTCCCATCATCCAGCTCCATGTCCAGCACAGCAGCTACCTCTCCTTTTGCCCTTTCTGCTGCCTGCTTGGTGTGCTCACGCTGTTGCACATCGGAGAGCTGCTTGTTCATGGATCGAATATCTGCCAAGATTGCTCGCTCGGCTTCTCGCAGCGTGAGAGGGCGCCCCGTCGGCTTTGTGCTGGCGCGTCTGGACGATGCTTGCTGCGAGTCAGGACGGCCCCGAGACCACATGGAAGCGAAATCATCCCCTTCGTTTCCGCGCGCTCCGATGGCATACTCGGATGATGACGACTCTGCTGCGAGGGATGAGCTGGTGCAAATGCTTCGTAGAGGAGCTGCGGAGCAGGGGGCGGCAAGCTGTGTGCTGGATGAGCTGGCCACTGTAGCTTGAGCCAGCGTCCTGCTCGACGAGGGCCATGTATGCGTCGCAAGAGAAAGCCTGGCAGTGGAAGAGAGAGCATATCGTGCCCTGTGCATCGTGCAGAGAGCCAGTGCAGCGAGGCTGCTTGCTGGGCAAAGCAAGCGGAGGAGTGTGGAGTGTGGGTGAGGGGCAAGACGTTGGAGTGTGGGTGGAGCTGCAACGCAAGCTCACGCGACCCGCGCACCACACGCGGGGACAAATTTTCTGTGGGCGCGCGGGGTATACCGGCCGAGAAGAAAGGCCCTCCGTGTGTGCACGGACACTGGACAGCGAGATGCACGCTTGGGTGAATGCCACCACCCACCACACGCAGGTCCCCTCCCTGACTCCTCGCTGCCACCCCTTCTTGACCGCACTGATCGGCGCTTTGGACTGGTAGGTAGGTGCAATGCAATCTCAAGCAGCAGCGCACAATCCAAATACAAGCGCAGTGCAGCTGGACAAGTGGTCGCGCGAGCTGGCGCCGCTGTCTGATGGAGCGAGGAGCAGCGTAAACACCTTGGCCGACTGGATCAACAAGTCGTTGAATGGGCACAAGCAGGATGCGGGGGCAGCGGGGGCACGACAGGGCAGAGAGAATGGTCAGCAAGATGCTCGCATGGACATCTCACAGCGCACTCCTCGCCCTTCTTCGCCCGCCCAAGATAGCGCGACAGCACAGCCACAGCCACAGGCACGCACGCACGATTCGCTGGCCAGGCCAAGCTTGCCCACCGCTCCCATCTCGGACGCTTCGGCATTTCTCAGCTGGTACAATGCTCAACAGTCTCACATCGCCTCTTCATCCTCTTCCCATCATCAAGACACCATCAGAGCGCTTGGTGAAGCGCGCGAGCGGGCAGACGAGACGCTGAGCCAGCTCGAAGCTGCTAGAATTCACGTGGCCGAGTTGCGCGCTGGATCCAAGTTCGTGCAAGAGGGAAGCGAAGGGTTGAGGGAGGAAGCAGAGAGCATGGCGGAGCAAATGGTATGTATGCGCTGTATGCGTGCGTGCGGGCGCGCGCGCGCGCTCACCAACCCCACATTTACGCGTGACCCTCGCTCAGGATCACCTGTCTACGCTGTCCGATGAGCTCGCCTTGCGACTGTCTTACTTTGCCATCCTACCATCATCCACGACGTTTCTCTCATCTCCTTCTCTCTCCCTAGTCCTCTCTCCCGACTTTCTCTACACTCTCGATCGACTCGATGTCGGTCTGCAGTTCCTGCGAGCTCATCCAGACTATCACGACGCCGCAGTCTACAAGATGCGATTCGAGCATTGTGTAGTGAGAGCTGGCCAGCTGATACGTCTGCACGTCACTAGCACGTTCAAGTCGGTAGTGGGCGAGACTTTGGTCAAGCTGAAAGAGTGGGAAAAGAGCAGGTGGAGCAAGGCGGCGGGGGAGAAGGAGACGCAGGATCAGAGCGCGCTGATGGTGAGCTGGGAAAGGATGCTCGATGGATGACCGGTTGCTGACCGTGTCCATGCTCTTTCACCCACACAGGACCTGGGCGACCCAGTCCTGCACACGCTTCTCTATGACCGCTTCAACGAAGAAGCTCAGCAGATGAGGCCTCTTCTGCTGGAACTTGAAAAGCGTTCTGCGCCCTCTGCGCCCGCCGCAGCCTCGCTCGATGTCTCTGACCAGGAGCGAGACAAACAACCACCCATGGATGAAAGTGCGCTTCTGGCTGACTACGCGGCCAAGGCCAAAGTCGACTCCACGGAAGGCGATGCGACCGAGCTTCAAGAGGAGTCTTCGTCCGCTGCAGTATTTTCGGCCCCCGAGTTTGATGCTATGCTGGTGGAATGCCGCACGGCCTACTTTGAAGCACGTCAAACGCTCCTCTTGGGTATCGTAGGCAGCTGTGTGGCGCGAATCGAGGCTGCTGCTCAGACTCTGGCTTCTGCGACGGCCAGCACCAGTCGAGCTCACGCGTCCCTCTTGCCGCCCCTGGTTCGACAAGGCTTAGCATTCCTGGCGCCAGTGTGCGAGTCGGAGCGATCGTTGTGCGCGCGATTCTTTGCCACGCAGACTGCTGCAGAGGCAACCTTTCTCTCCACGCTTTGCGGACCCCTGCACGATCGAGTGTGTTCGCGTGTGCAGCGAGAAAACAATGTGGCCATCGTTTCTCAGGTCTGCGTGGCCCTTCTGGAACCAGTAGATCGCTTGGAACACACTGCGCTGCTCTCTCCGCTCATCAGGCCGATGCTCAAAGATGCTCAAGCTCAGCTGTCCATGCGAGCCAGGACTCTCTCCTTGGGTCCCGAAATTGCAAACTTCAAGCCGAGCGCAGACGATTTGGACTATCCTACGAAGCTTGGAGGAGCGGCTGCTGCGGCGCATCGACGTGCGCAGAGCAGCATTGGAGGTGCTGGGCTTTTGGAGGCTGCTGCAGAGGCTGAAGCTGCTCGCAGCAGAGGTGCGAGTGAGGCTAGCAGAGACAGCAAGATGGGACTGGCGCGCGCGCAGGAAGGCAAGGCTGCCACCACGTCCGTTCGACTCTTTGCTTCGCCAGCTCCTTCGGTCGTGAGGACATGGTATACGCCCGTCTCTCGCACGCTCACCATGCTCTCGCTACTTCACATTGCCCTGCCCACCAAGCTCTTTTGCGAACTGGCAATGATCGCAGTAGATGGTTGTCGACATGCCCTACTGCACGGTGCAGAGAAGATGGGGAGCGATGGCAATTCCATCATGCCGGGCAGGATAGGGGCGACTGGACGTATGGATCCGCCATTGTTCTTGCTTCGCCATTTCTTGCTTCTTCGAGAAATGGTGGCGAGCGTGGAACTGAGCACGAGCGCTCAGGGCCAAGGCCAAGCTGATCGCATGGCCGTAGCTTTGGGCGATGGGAATGCTGTGCAGCATTCTACCAGCGTCATCGATTTTGCACTGCTCACTTCCGTCGTCAATGCTCTGTGGGCCACCACTAGCGCTCTGTTGGACCCTAGAGGCTTGCTGCGCGGCTCTGCTACCGTCGACGAAGAGCCTGTGCTGAATCGCACACCCACACCTCGATCTCCTTCCCGACCTTTTGACGCGGCTCAGAGCGAAGCTTTGACTCGACTCGAACATGCCATCAAGAGCGCTTCGGCGCAGCTGGTCGACGTCATCTCTTCCAGCGTCTGTCTGCCTGTGCGCGTATTCATGGACCAGGCACGACGGGCCAAAGTCGCTCTTCCCGCTTCCGCTTCGCCCACCACGTCCAGCAAGATGAGCGCGGACAAGATCAAGGGCGTCAAAGAAGCGTTTGACACTTGTGCAAGGACGACGCTTTCGCAGGTCAAGCTGGCTCTGGCGGCGTACATCGAGGAAGAAAGGGTCATCGATTCGCTCGTAGAGCCTATTCTGGTGAGCTGGTGGACCGTCTGCGACGCTCGACGCTCGACTGCCGCATGCATCATGCTCCAGCTTACGCGCGCGCACTCTTCATATCCCCTCGCGGACGCGCTCCGCTCGCACGCACTGCAGACTCGAATCGTGCAGACTTATCAAGCTTTCGTCGACGTGGTGCAAGAGAACACTGCGAACGCAGCTAGCGAGCAACAAGCGCCAAAACTTGCCGCCGCTGAAGAAGTGCAAAGGGAGCTGCGAAAGCTGATACAGAGGTAATGCGCGCTTTCTCCCCCCCCCCCCCCTTTCTTCGCGTCTTGATCACCCTTTCAAATTCCGCCGCGCGATGCTCTGCTGCATACGCGTCGCGCAATCGCTTTTGCGCTGCACTACCAAAAGTCGCAGCGCGATTTCGTCGAAGCAACAACTTCAAAGCGAAGCGAAGAACGCTCGCGTGGCATCAATCGTTATTGCTTAGTGTACAATCGTGCGAGACCGCCGAGAGCCTCGTCGTAAGCGGGTTTGAGCGGTTGCAATACGTGATCTTGCAGCTTGATTTTTCTCAACTTGTCCAATCTGCCCGATCGAGCCATCATCTGCTTAAAGTATCGTGCCTACCGTTACGAAAGGCGATGGAATACGGCGCGGTGAAGGGCATGGTCAACAAGAGAAGGGCCTCGTCGCTGGGGCCGATCGCAATCCCGCTCGCAATGACAATCGCGATTACCATTCCCAATGCCGAAGGGCAAGGCATTCATCCAGACTCACCTCTGGCTCTTCGACCAAACTCCAAGCGTGACCCTGATTGTTCGCCCGCGCTGTGCGTCCCACGCGATGCACATACTTGGCCATATCCACGGGCACATCGTACGACACGACGTGTGCGACAGAGGGCAAGTCTATGCCTCGGGCAATGAGATCCGAAGAGACGAGTCTGGCGGGGACAAGACCGAAGCGGGGGGCGCGAATTTGGAGTTTGGTAACGCAAAAGGAGTGGATCGAGTTGAGGCTCAGCCTGGCAACTTTGCTTCGCTGTCGCATCATTTATCCCCTGCAACTAGCGCAATCTCGCGCACCACTCACACGTCAATGTGACCCTTTTTGAACAAGGACAACATCCTGCCTCTCTCGCCCGACGAAAGTTCAGACGAACACTCCGCCACGTTGATGTGCCGTGCATGCGGCGTTCGCTGGGCATTCCTGCCTGCATGTTCCTGCACAAAGAGCTGCATCAGCTTGACCAGTCTCGTCGAGCTCTCGACGGACTTTGTAAAGACGAGAATTCCTCCGCTTAGTGGAAGGGGTAGCGCGGACTCCAGGTTAGAAGAAGCTGTGGCGGGTGCCGGGCTGTAGAGCAGGTGCAAGAGGTACAGAGGTTTGAGGGATGTCGGAACGACCAGCAGGTGTTCCTGTGCAGTCGTCAAAGTTTCGTTGAGCTTGGATATGTCGTGTGCTACGCACTGCTGTGTGCTGCCAACGACTCACTTTGAGCCCAGCGGGCAGTTCGAAATCATCCTTGATATCAACGACGAAACCACCTGATCCCTCCTGGCCATCCTTTGCAGTCTCACGAGGCTTGACACGGACGGTAATGTAGTGCGGATCGTTGAGGTCCAGCGCTGCCATCTTTGCAGGATCGCGCGTCAATGTAGCCGAAAAGAGCAACTTTTGCGCGTGCTAGAACGGCAGAGGAGTGGCCGGCCAATTGCAGTACCGCATCAGCAGGCATGGTACCCGAGCATCATAGCGCGCGCGCGCGC